TTCATGGGGCAGATCTCACTGGGCCTGTGAATGCTATAGTTCCTGTAGTTGTTGATAGACCTCAGGTTCAGAGAGATTAAGTGACTCAGATTTACTGGGAAAATCTCTCAGGGGACAAAATTACAACAGTCAGCCTAAGACTCTTAATTGGTTTTATTTTTGAATCAAGAACCAGGCCACACTTTATTCTATAAAATAAAATAAATGTTCTAATGAGCCAGACTGGGGAAATTGGTTTTATAGACAGAAAAATGGCTGAAGACAGGAAAAACAAAAACTAAAAGGCAAATTGGTCATTTTCATTTTTCCTTTTGAAAGGAGGCCTTGGAGACAGAACAATAGAACAATAAATGATTGGTTACCATTAGATTCCTGAAGTTGAAGGCTAAGGGTGCCTCATTATCATACCAGTTGAAGCTGGTCTGTTTACAAAATTTGGCTGTTAGCTCTCTAATCCTGATTGTCAGGTCCATGGCTTAATTTTAGCTTAATGGAAACCTCAGCATGAGCGATTCCATTTTGATTGTTAGTAGTCTTTTGGGACCTAATACAGGAGCTTAGTTCAAAGCAGTGGTCTCCTATAATTTTTATTTTAACATGCCAGAGCCAAATTTCTGTTTTTCTTGAGACAGTGTCTCAGCTGGTCTCCAATTTGCCATGTGATTGAGGATGACCTGACCTGATCCTCTTACCTTAGGCTCCTGTTTTTTGGGTCTATAGACATGGCCAGCACACTTGGTTAGCAGTTCTGATTTGTTGCTGTTTGTTTTTCACGACAGAGTTTCTCTGTGTAGCCCTGGCTGTCCTGGAAATGTTCTCTGTACACCAGGCTGGCCTTGAACCCAGAGATCAACTTGCCTCTGCCTCCGAAGTGCTGGGATTAAGGGCATGCACCACCATATTTTGCTCAGTCTTGATATTTTACATTTTACATAGAATTCTTAAAATATATCACATTTATAGGGGCATTGAGGTCATCCTTATGGAATTACTAGATGAGATCAAATGAAATGACTCATATGAAGTGTCACAAAGTTACTCCTTGTACTTCTGGGAAAGTCACACTGGTTGCTATGTGAAAGGTCCCCATAGGAGGAGCTACCACGGGAGTCCCTGTGGAGAGCAGGTTCTGAGTACAAGGATCTGTGGGTTCAGGGTTATCTGCTGAGTTAAGGGTACTGAAGAGGAGCAGGCCCTTGGACTATTGTCACAGTGTGGTTGAACAACAAGAGAGGAGGGCACCCAGGCAGCAGCACCCTGGGGGAAGACAAGATGATCAAAGAGCCATGCTTGCAAACTGAATCAGGTGTTCAGGTCATCTTTGGCTACAGAACAAACTGTATGTCAATCAGCCTAAGTTACAGGAGACCCCGTCTTTAAAAAGAGTCAAGCATGGACCTGAAGGTGCTGGAATCACTGGAAGGAAAGTGATACATCAAGACAGTTTTCAAATACATTGGTGGAAATGTCAGAGACATGCATTACAGTAAAATGCAATCAAAACTGCAGATGCCACCCTATGACATTCTTAGCTTTTGTGTTGGTGGGAGTAGTAGTGGTCTGCTAAGTCGATACATTCCAGAATGTTTGTAATCTCTTAGCCACAGAGTGTTAGGTCTGACACACAGGAGGGCAAGGGATGACTAGGTAGAGGGCTAAAGCTAGCCCAAGACAAATTCCAATGAGGCTCAGAACATGCAGCGTTCCAACCTTGCCCCATCATTGCACTTGTAATTAGTCAATCAGCCTTTGCAAACACAGCTTCTTTCCAGGAATTCTTTGTCAAGCTCATTAGTGCATAGCACTCAGGAGGCCTTGTAGAGTGGTGCTGCTGTGAGTAGCAGGTGCCAGGTCTGGAGAGTCATTGTGCGAGCCACAACTGTGTTGGGACTTAGGACAATAAGCCCCTGGGACACACGGACTTTGGGGAGCTTTTTTGGCACTGAGCTATGTCCCAACTCTCTAAAATACGTCCCAGCTCTCTAAAATGGTCTCCCGCCTTGTTTGTTTGTTTTTGAGACAGGGTCTCTCTATACAATCCTGGCTGTCTAGGAACTCACTATGAAGACCAGGTTGGCCTGAACTCAGAGATCTGCCTGTCTCTGCCTCTTGAATGCTGGGATTAAAGGCATGTGCTACCACAACTGGCTCAACTGTTTTAATCCTTTTGTTGAGACAAGGTTTCTCTGCATGGCCCTGGTTATCCTAGAACTTACTCTAGACCAGGTTGGCCTGAACTCACAGAGATCCACCTGCCCCTGTCTCTGAAGTGTGGAGGCATGCTCCACCAATACCCAGGCTGTTTTAATCTTGAACTGGTTAGACAAGTGCTTTGCCCCTAAGCTACATTTATAGGCCTCTTAAAAATTTTTTTATTGTCGGGGCAGTGATGCCACATGCCTCCCTTAATCCCATCATTTGTGGGGAGCAGAGGCAGGCAGATCTCTGTGAGTTCAAGGCAAACCTGGACTTGTTGTAGTACCTTGGTGGCCCTTCATAAAAATAAAGACACCAAGACTTTTTAATATTTTAAAGCTTAGGCCTTAGTTGGGCAGATTCTCAACCAACTCATCTAATTTAACCAGACCACTTAGCCCCATTCAGCCATGTGGCTAGCTAGACCTTCCAGACCTCTAGTCACATCTGTCTCCTTTCATAACTCCTGTTGACAAGGCCCTTCCTCTTTCTTTCCGGAGTTCCTTTCCCTTTCCCAGGAAGTCCTGCCTTCTACCTCCTGCCCAGCTAATTGGCCATCAGATTTTTATTAAAACTAACCAGAGAACGCCTTAGGTAGGCAAGAAAGGACAAAGACAAAACTTCACATAGTGTACCCTAATACCTCCCCCTTGTAGTCCAATAAAGGCTTTTTCTCTTACACTAAAAACTATATACAATAAGAGCAGTTACAAGAAGTGTCAGGTAAGAATTACATTCAGAATATCTAGTCCATTTGCATCTGGCAATCTTTGGAGAACGAACTCTACTATCCATCCTATTTTGGTATGTTCAGAATTTTGCATCTAACTCAGTTTCTATCATAACTTGCATTACCATCCTAAAGTCATCTTCCTAGACCTAAAACATCTTTTAAATCCTAAACAACTTAAGCGTTATTGTAAGACTATGACTGTTTAGTCTTCAACCTCATCAGAGACTTGCAAAGGAATAAATATTACCTAAATATATAGAAAGTGCAGGCAAGCAGCTTTCAATACTAAGAATGACAGATAGCTGGCTGCCTGGACAGTCACCTAAATATCTCTATTACTTTGAAGCATCATCTTCAGCTTCTGGCACAGTAATATCTGGCAGACATATTTATGATGCAAGAAGTATGAAGGACTTGCTTACCCTGTCTTGGTACAGCTTGCCAGTCAACTTCCTTCGTTCAGATTTGCCTAGTTTGGATAGTGAAGCGAGGGCTTTTTTTTTTTTTTTTTTTTTTTTTTTTTTGGCCTGGTGGCCCATTTGAAGCCATCTTCTAATAGAGGTTCTTCGATGCCTGTCATCTTCTTTCAGGTGCTGCCAAGAGCTGACATGTCTCATTGCTAGAAAAGTCTTAAAATAATGCTATATTTTGTAGGTCTCTGAGGTTTATGAAGACCATCTATCCATCTGTATTCACTTACATAGTGTTTAATAATTATCTATCTATAGCACATCTGAATAGGCAAATGTTGCCTGTTTTTAGCTATTTACTATCTGTTTAACCTAAGAAGCTTTATCTGTGATAAACTGGACTAGTATCTGACATAACATGAGTATGATTGACTATTAGCTTGTATCAATTATTCTAAACAGTTGTAATAGCTATTAAAAGGATTGGAAGTAAATACTGCATTTTTAAATGAGTTGCAAAGGTCCAATATCTTATTCAAGAATTGAAACATAATTATGTTGTAACAAAAATAACCTTAATTTTTATATCAAGATACAAATATTTGTATCAATATACAAAAATCCTTATCAGTGTAAGATTACTGGTTTATAAAAATGTTCTTTGGTTTAAGAGTAGATTTGATAATATGCCATTTTTTCCTGTTATTTCCATATATTCCTATATATAGTCTACAAAGTGAGTTCCAGGACAGCCAGGCCTACACAAAGAAACAGTGCTCAAAAAACCAGAAAAGAAAGGAAAAAGAAGAAGAAGAAGAAGAAGAAGAAGAAGAAGAAGAAGAAGAAGAAGAAGAAGAAAGAAAGAAAGAAACTAAAAAACAAAGCAAAAAAAAAACCCCAGAAATCAGCCAAGCAAAAACCCCACAAAAAACAAAAAAAAAAAAAAAAAAAAAAAAAACCTTTCTTATTAGACCAGGTGTGGTGGCAAATGCCCTTAATCTCAGCATTTGGGAGGTGGCTCTCTGAGTTCAAAGCTTGGTCTACAGAGGGAGTTCTAGGACAGCCAGGGCTACATAGAGAGGTCAAAACAAAACAAAAACAAAAGAAACAACAACAAAAACCAAACCAAAAAAAAAGAAAAAACATCAACAACAACAAAACCCACAACTTTTTAATTAATTTAATTGTTTTTTTTCCTCTTTTTAAAAAATTGTTTTTACCTTCATTTCTCATTTGTGTGCATGTGTGTGCGTGCACATCTATATGGAGATCAGTTTGTAGGAGTTGGTTCTCTCATCGTGTGGGATTCAGGGATCAAATGCAGGTTGTCAGGCTTGGTGGCAAGTCTCTTTTCCTGCTGAGCCACCTTGCCAGACTCCTTTTTTATAGTCCTCTTTCCTATTATTCTCTCAGTTTATTCTTGATTTCCGTAGTTCCTGTGCTGGGGCTGGGAAAGCAGCTGGTCACCTGAAGGGGCAGGTGGGACCTCAGCTATTACTTTGAGACCAAACTCACAAACTAAGCTGTGTCCCCTGAACCTGGCCTGCTCCGACAGTTGTCTGGCAGGCTTGCTTCTCAGATTAAGGGCATTTTTTGGGACAAAGGCAAATATGGCTATTTTTCACAGACTCGTGGATGCCAAAGAACGTTGTTTTTCCTAGATCAGTCCACTCAGCAGGGCCCAAAAGACCTGTCACTTGGAGAGTCTGTTCAAGAAGTCTCTGAGGAACCCCGGGCTTGGATGGACTAGAATTTTGCTTCCTGGGTGAGTTGCTTCTACTGTAAAAAGTTGTGAGACCAAGAAACGAGGGTGACCCAGGCAAGTGTTTCAACAGTGACACCCTTGGACCTAACTGCCTAGTAATAGTTTACCAAGTGATGCTCCAAACAGTGGTCCACAAAGGGCAAGGAGAAGGGTGTGGTCTAGGACTCTGAGAGCATAAATATGAGAGTGAAAAAAAAAAGAAGGTGGGTGTTCTGAATGGCTTTTGGTGTTGGTGTGTGGCAAATAGCAGTTTGGAGAGACCAGAGACGGTGTTGGCGGTTTGGAGCAGACAGATGGAGAGAAACTCTTTGGGGCGCAGCAGTGTGGAGACACATGCTAGCTGTGTTGTGGTTGATGGAGATTGGTATAGAGCCCTAAAAGAATCCCTTGACCCTGAATAGTCAGGAGAAGTAAAGAGGTCTGGGCCCCTTCTCACCACTAACCTCTTCTCTCTCCTACTTAAAGTTGGGGGGGTGATGGAAGGGAGATAGGGGCCTAAACACCCCAAATAAAGTAGAGTGTTAAAAAAGACTGATACAAACGGCTTTCTGCTACAAGTGTGCCACTCTTTTTCACCATTGTAGGGTTTCCCACTATACCCTGGTGTGTTTGTTCTTGGTCTTGCTGAGGAGCCCTTTGGCTTTTATCTTTGCTCCTAGGAATGGTACTTTTCTGAAATCCTTGCACAGGGCTCCTAATTCATTGGAGCAAGTGTTGCTCTAGGATATAAATTCGGAGTGGACTTGCATTCCCATGCAATCTAGGTTCGAGACTCCTCTTTCCTTCAGCAGGACACAGCATTGAGTATTTTGTGCTCTCTCAGGTGTGGGAATTTGGATCTCAGGTCCATGTGAGAGCCACCTTGTGATTTCAGATTATTGGGGTGAGTTATTTTCTATCTCTCTATGTGATGGGATCCCAGCTGGTTTTCCTGACCATCTGATATAGTTCCAGGGGAAGGGGGGACTGGATGAGGTTTATTTCTGACTGACTCTCACCCTGAGGGATATTTTTTAGAAATACCAACTGGACTTGGGATAAGATTCCCATCTTGGCTGGGCACTGGGAGTGTGCCCTGTGCCCTTTCAGGCTTTGAAAAAACCAAAGCTCAGATTTCCCTGGTTCTACAGAGGGCCTCAGGATAAGTTACAGCAGTTACCTGTCTCTGGGTTTCTGCCTGAGTGGTCTGGATTTCCTTTCCGATTTGTTTGTGTTTTTAAGTAGTTTGTGTATGTGGTGTGCCCCTCCTCCTCAATACGTACATTTTATCCACAAGTGTAATTGTTTTTAGCAATAAGATTGGACAGTCACTTACCTACTCTTGTGGGAAACTCCTTGCTTCCCCTTGAAACCCATGGGTCCCTGTGACTTAGAGCTCTGGCTTCCCTTTCCAGGAGGCTCCAGATCATCCCTGAACACTGAGGCAGCCCCATCACAGGGACATGGTGGGGGCAGCTGGTGGGGTTTCCACCCAGAGCTGTACAACTGCAGTGTTTGGGCCTAGAAGTCTGATTCTCACATGTCATGGATTTCTGAATTACAATGAAAGTTAGAGTCTTTGGGGTCCATCCACCCCTCAGGTTTTAAAGATCTGTGGTTGATCCATTTGACCTATGTTCCTCTGGCCTGGCCTTTGGGCTCAATCAACTCTTTGGGAGGTATAGACAGATTGCTGAGAGAGCAGACTAGCACCCAGGCAATTATTGGGAGCTGTCT